GGTTTAGGGTTTAGTTTTTAGGGTGTTAAGGTCTAATTTAGGGGCCTTAGCGATTAGAGTAGGGTTTTGGGTTTCCTTGAAAAGGGATCTATATAAGGGTTACAAAAGGTGAGGTAATGTAGGGATAGGGTTTAGGGGTTTTGGGNNAAAAAGGGTTTGAGGTTTAGGGTTTAGGGACTTTTGGGGTTTAGGGTTTAATTAGGGTCTCAGGTTGAGGACCGTAGGGTTTAGGACTTGGTTTGGGGTTTGGGTTAGAAGGCCTAGGGGTTGATTCAAGTGAAGGGTGCAGGGTTGCAAGTTTATGGCTTACCAGTTAGGGTTGAAGGTTGGGAGTTTAGGGTTTTTAGGTTTAGGGTGTTCTTTCTTTTCTGTGCGTTTCCGGCTAATGGAGAGGGGTTCCAGGACAAGGAAGCTTTTTCCTTCGTCGCCCAACGTGGACCCAATTTAGTTGAAGGCGGAGATCCAAGGCACACATATTTTTATCAATGCTATATTCCTGGGGGTTGCCCACAACAACTAGACAAGTTCCTACTATCATGAGTCCTTCCGAGCTTGGGTTTGGCATGAGAGTTCAGTTTTTGGAGTTAAGCATGCTTTGGTGTTGAGATTCTTAGGGCTTGTTTAAGTTGTTGAAGGACCCGGCTTTGTCTGGTAAACTTCTCTGACGACATTTGGAGTATTCAGCGCTGGAATTCGGGCTGACCCGAAACCCCTAAATTCTAAACCCAAAAATGCTAAACCCCCCCCCCCCCCATTCTGACAGGCAGCAGCATTCTGGCCGCGCAGGCGCGATGCCCTCTTGACTGTCCGAAACCTGCAGCTCTAGTCCCCTCAGTCTGAAACCTAAATCCCTAAACCCGTAAACCCTAAACCCTTAAACCCTTAAACCCTAAACCCTGAACCCCAAGAGCCCGAACTCCGTAAACTCTGCAATAAGCTCGAAAGCCTGCCCTAGACCTCCATACCCAAAACCACAAGCCTCAAATGCTACCCTAGCCCTTTAAAATCTACTACCTCTCTCAGCCCTTACAGTGCGAGGTTAGCATAAAGAAGCCTGAAACCCTAAACCCTGAAACCCTAAACCTCAAACCGTAAAGTCTAAACCCTAAACCCGAAAGTCTAAACCATAAGCCGTTTAGGCATCAGGTCTTTGCTAAGGCCGCCAAGCCCTCGTAAGCAGCGCTTCGGATAGAAGACTTCCAGGCTCTTCAAGTTTAGGGTTTAGGGTTTAGGGTTTGGCTTTGTGTTGTTTCGGTGTAGGGTTTAGGGTTTGGGGATGTAGACTGTAGACTTAGGAGGGTAGTGCGTGACCCTAAACCCTATAGGGTTTCGGGTTTTTCGGATCATTATCTAACGATTTTGCACTTTCGATGTGTGTCTAAGCTTCAGACTTGGAACCCTCTAAATGAAGTCAGATGCTTTTCCATTCTCTTAGCCTCTTCAGCCCCGATCGTGATCCCTGTTGCCCCCCCCCAGCGGTACATAAACTGTACCTTACAGTCACCATGATCCTGTGACAGCATGTTGCGTCCATGGCTGAATGACCAACAGCCCCAACATCCCCCAAGCTCTCTAAAAACCGAAACGCCTGCGAACTCCAAAGATTAGATCCCCACATCTCTAAAGCCCCTTGTGTGAATCTTCTCATCAGGCATTCTGTCCGTGGAGCTGGACGGGCAGCGTGTCATCGTTGTCCCAGTCGCCGGGTCCTCAGAAGTGCTTGTTGGGATCCGTTTTCCAATCAAACGAATGGCCGAAGAAGATCTGGAGCATTGGCCTAGTTCAATGGGATTCCGGATTTTAGAGTGCAGAAATCCTGAAATCCTAGCGTCCTATACAGCCGCCGGAGAACCTTACAAAGCCGTACAGATATAAATGCAATTTCGAATAGTGCTGAAATCTGGGATCTGTGTTGTGGTGAGTGTAGAAACACTCTAAACCCCTAAACCCTAAACCCTCAGTGAAATTTTCGCTTTTATTCTAGGGATACCTGGAATAAAAGCGTCATCAGGGGGGCTTCGCCTCGACATTAGCGGCTCATCAAGAATTCAGAGTTTGGATGTTTTGTTAGTTTAGGGTTTAGGGTTTAGGGTTCGGGGTTTAGGGTTTAGGGTTGAGGGTTTACGGCCAACCGCCCCGTTCTGAAACCGAACACGATCCGGCCACCCCTTCCCAGTGACAGCATTCTACAAGAGCTCCTTCGGAGAAGGTACGCCGCAGGCGGAGAGATGTTTCTCAGCTTTCATCTCTCTCTGTCCTGAATTTGCCAAGGCCTCACATGCACATAGCGATCAGGATTTTGGCATAACGGTCACGGGCCTTCTAAAACCAAAAACCTCGGAAGTCCCTGTACTTGGAGGTTCATGCGATTTAATAAGTACGGTTATAAGTACCCTGATTGGGGTTATAAGTATAGTTATTTTATTTACAACCCTAATTACTAAGTCCATGAACCTTCAAGTACAAAGGCCTAACAACAGAGTGAGGATCTGGAGACTATGGTGTCCTTATGTCCCTAAACATGTTTACTCAGCCAGCCTACTGGTTAAAACCCAGAGAGACACTCACTCATAAGCAAGAGCGCAAGAGCCGAATAAAATCTCGAGAACATTTTGACCGGGTCAATTGGGAAGATGTTTCAGCTTCTGTGGTCTCCCAAGCCTAGAAACTGTACTCAAAAATGATCCTCGAAATCAGGGTTAGGATCCTTGACGCATCAAGCCCGATACTCGAAACCCTCAGCCGGAAAGGACCTTTCTTACATCGTGAATGTGGACGGCACGGCCAAGGCGTCAGAGAACGCACCCAGGCGGGGGCAGAGGGGGCAGAGAGTCAGGGGCAAATGTGTGGCTGTGTAACTAGACTCTGTTCAGGGCTACGGGACCCTAAACCCTAAACCCTAACCCCTAAACCCTAAACCCTAAATCCTAAACCCGAGGTTCAGGTCTTCAGTCTTCCAGCCGTCAGCCCCGAGAGTCACGAGAGCCCTGAGGCAAGTTTCAACAATCTCAGAGGTTCGCAGAGGGTTGCTATCGGGTTTAGGGGTTTAGGGTTTAGGGTTTATGGTTTAGGGTTTATGGGAGCTGTTTGGGTTCATCATCATGCAGGTTCGGATCCAATGGTGAGGTTCAGGGATGAAGCCCAAGCCGCAAGAAAGACTCCGCGGCAGGCAGCCTGATCCGGAAGCATACGACGAGAAAGGTGCATTTGCCTCCTCTTGGTTTTGGGGCTTTGGGGTGTAGGAAATGCAGACGGATGAGAAAAAATAAGGCTCGTTCTGAGATTAGTGCACGGTTATGATTATCATAAGCTCAAGCACAGTCGAGTTTTTATGGGCTTCAGATGCTACAACCTCATATCATCTTTCGCGAGGTTCGGCAGCCATCGGGGTCGTCCGCGGGTAGAGTGTATTACCCTAAACCCTAAACCCTAAACCCTAAACCCTAAACCCTAAACCCTAAACCCTAAACCCGTATTGTTCAGCATAAGCTTTTTGAATGACTGAATGCATAGCAAGCTTGAAGTATTTAGGCCCCTGGGAGGGCCCAGTCCCCCTTTAAGGGTTTAGGGTTTAGGGTTTAGGGTTTAGGGTTTAGGGTTTAGGGTTTAGGGTTTAGACATGAGGTTCCCAAATAATTAGGGCTTCTACCGTAGTATGATGTTTCATGATGGCACGGTGTTCATGACTTCCACCTTGAAGGGTTCCGTACAATTCCGAGCAGGAGTTTCTGAAACAGGGGGACCCCGAATTCGAGCCCACTATGAGCACCCCCGTCACCCTCGGAAGGCTGAGTGAACTCAGTGAACTCCCTGAAAATCCTGCAATCAGCCGCTTAAAACAGCGGTCAAATACAAACGCTAAAACACACACCTATAACATCCGGAGAATGCCTTTTATAGTTTTTGCTATCACGAATCTCCCGAAATTGGCTGGGCCGTTTATGCTCCCAAACATGAACATGCCCAGGTGCAAGTCCTGGTCGAGCGTGGGTTGGTTACGTGGGAAGCACTAGACATCAGGGTCTGCATGAAGAAAACTTCCGCCACTGACAGTTTCTGAACGTATGTGTTGTTGTGAGGCTTAAGCATCTGTTTGTCTAGCAGGGTTGAGGTTCAGGGTTCCTCGGTGAGTTTTTTGTTTGCTTTCTGTGTGTTGTAGCGGAGACTGTTCACTTAGTGACAGCAGGTAATGTGCGCAGCCCGGGCAAAGAGGAAAGCAGTGGTAGTTCCAGTGCTGCCATACGTGTGCAGCATCAGCCACAGTATCAGCAATGATGCTGACAGTGAGAGTGTGTGTTGATTCAACGCGTTTTCTGATGTGTTACGGCCTGTTTTGGCAAAGTGCACTTGATAAGTGAGGGTTTTAATAAGGCTTAGGGTGTAATAAAGGCTCAGGGTTTCGGGTTGAAGGAATAGGGTTCGGGGTTTAGGGTTTCGAGCGTGGGTTTTAGGGTTTTGGGGTTGAACCTTACCTTACACCCGACTGTGACAACTAGCACTCCGTGGAGCCTCTGGCATTAGGGTTTCGGGTTTGGGGTCTAGGATTTAGGGTCCCCAGAGAGCCCAATACCCCCTTAATTAAGGAATATACCTTAAATCATGGGGGCCTTAATATTATGATTTAAGGCTTTAAGGTACATTCCCCAATTAAGGGGTATTGGGCTCTCTGGGTCTAGGGTCTGGGGTTTAGGGTTTAAGGGATCGCATGGCAGCCCAGGATTTACCAGCAGCACGAGCTACTTTCAATTCCAGCCTCTCGTCTTGTCCAAGAGTGCGGGACGACGGTTTAGGGTTTAGGGTTTAGGGTTTAGGACGTCTTGGGGTTTACCTTTTCCCTTGAGA